CGCGTTTAAGTACCTCTGCCTTACGCGTCTGTTATCCTCGCTGCCTCCGTAGTGTTCACACATGAGACTATATATTCACGCAATGTCCAAGAAGACCTTAGAGACGTAACCACGAACCGCATGCGAGACCTTTCCTTTCTCATCCTTCTCCCTGACACACATACCTTTACGTACACTACGCTACCACATAAAGCCGAAAAATCAATCGGGAGCTTCGAGCTTGTTTCGGCTGAGGTGGTCCCGCCTGAGAAGACACCTAAGTAGAGGTGGACACTTTTTAGCCAAAAATCCTAGGCGAATACATTACCAAACGGGCCATGAACCTCGCGCCCTATCCTATCCCTTACACACACACTTGCATGCACTACACTAGCACACATGCCGGGAGACCGGTCGGGAGCTTTGCGGCAGTGCTCCGCTGGTGGGAGAACCTGTTGTGAGGGGGAAAATCTCTAGCCGACGGTAGGTCGGGTACGTAACTTACCATCCAGTGGGTCAAGATCACCGCCATCTCCCGATCAAAAACATGCACTGCGCTTACGGGACTAATGACATTATCAGTTGAAGCGCCTGGAGTCACAGATTGATTGATTGGTTGGTTAATCATTGAGGGTCGCTGATCAGCCCATCACGCGGCCCAAAGATGAGAAATGAGGACAGAATAGGGAAGGAACGATCCATGGCCCGTATTCAAGGGGGCAACTCTGGCATTCGCCTTGAAGCTGACAGGCAAACCTCTGATCAGAGCAATCGGCCTACGAATACGATTCCGGCAGGCACCACAAACTCGTCGCTACTAAAAACGTCACGCAAATTTCCTACAACTGGAGGGGATCGAATCCGCGACCTCCCAATCACCGTAACGCTCGATTAACGCACCATTACCGCTTGCCGCTACCGATGTTAGTTTTCCAAAGATAAACAACTTAGATACCGCCACATAACAACAGTTTGGAATAAACGTAGGTTATTTCATATGACGCGTTCAGAATATAAGTGATAACAGTTCTGGAGAAACTGTTTTAGTGATATTGGGAGTTATAGATAGACGAGAGTTAAAAAATATCCAGGTAGTTTACAAATCTAAATTTGGTTTATTTTGAAAGATAACTTACTGCTTCACTCATTTGTGAATTTCAGTACACAAAATAAGCATTTTAATTTTTAATAATTTTTTTAATGTAATTTATGGACTTGCTTTAGTTGCCTATTCAAAATTATTGGCACAATTTAAGGACAAAATATAACAGTTTAATTAGAAGATTGTAATTCACAAACTGCTTTTGAAACTTAAAAAAATTGTTAAATGAGTTTTTTTGCTTTTATCACAAACACGAATGCTTGAAATACTAGGCTAATTCTTGATGAATGTGTTGTGGATGAGAGGAATCAAAGGCAACAAATTCAACATATTTTGCTATGCATAGATACCTACTCATCACTTCGCTGCGGATAGTTCTTGTTCTGATATTTGCTGCACTGTTATTCTCTAAATTTCTTTTTCAAATTAATTTCACATAACCAAGGCCGTGTCGGAGGGGAAGCGTCTGGCACCACGTGCGGGGGACGGGAAGTACGGTAGGGGAAGGAGGGGCCCTTCGAGCCGTTGTCTGTTCTCCTATACGCCTGAAGGATTATTCGCTATTCTCTTACAGGCCTGAAATTGTCCTATAGGATTGAAGACCTCGTACAATGCGTTAATTTCTTCAATAGTGATCAAGTCTAACATAACTTTGAATGTAGCACAGTTCCGGACGGCCTTTCCGCCCGTTTCCAGATCCGCATCACGCACAAGAACCAGGTGCCGATGCTGATGGCGCCTCCCCCGGAAAAGGGCCGCGGCTTCTTCAGCTTCCTGCGCAAGTGACGCCGAAACTTCGGGCGGCGCAATCGGGAGGGCGGCCCGTCGGCGTCCGCGCCCAAGGCCGGGGTCGCGGCCGCTGCCGTTGCCGGCCCCAGCACGTCCA